AGTTTATTCAAAACCAGTGTGAAGTATCAATGTATAGTGATTTCCTGTTGCACATGTGAGTTTTGTATAATATTTTCCACCATCATTATTCATTCTGTTTATAGATTCATTTCACTCCTGTTGTTTTCCATACCGATACTCACCCAACCTGTATAACGAATCCAGAAAGTTGTATTTACGAATGAACAGTTTTTTCATGATTGCATATTCCAATCCTACCGATTGTTCTCAAGAAATGTGCTCCAAAACTTACACCCATTCTCTCCAATTTGTTCAACTACTCTTACAAATTGTGGATATTTCTGTCCAATTGGAAAATTGCAAAAGTTCAACCAGTTCCTAAAAAATGGGAGAATACCCCACCTAGCAACTACGGACCGATCGCACTGCTCTCGATCATTTCAGAGATCATGGAGAAAGCTATCAACATCAAGCTCATGAAATACCTGAAACATTCAGGTATCATTAACGACAGGCAATATGGCTTCGTTCATCAGAAACACAAGCATGCTTTTTCCCTAGAAAAGCCAATCCCACTGTGCCAAACATAAGAATGTCAGGAGAAATCATACCTTTGAATACATCAATTTCGACGTTTGGTATTACTATCAGCAATAACCTTCCTTAAAAATATCTTGTGAGATCAATTGCTGAAAGTGCATCTCGAAAACTTGGTTTTCTGTTTCGAGCCAGGAGCTCTTTCACTTCCAGTCAGTGGCATACTGTTTCCATATTTGGAGTGCGGTACCCAAACATACCCTGAAACTGTTGAATTCTGTCAGAAAAGGGGAATTCGTCTCGTGGGTAATGTCTCACTCGCGAACTCACTCACTTCTCTGGAACACCGTAGAAAAGTTGGCGATCTGGCTCTATTCCATAGATATTTCCATGGACGATGCTGTCCTGAATTATCAACAATTGTACCTCCCTTGGCAGTCCCCGCGAGATTAACCAGTCAAGTTGAGGCTTCGCACCCCTTCATGGTCACTTTGGAGACCTGCAGAACATCTCTTTCCAAAGACTCGTTCATCCAACGAACAGCGAGGCTCTGGAATACATTGGCAAAGGAGGTGTTCTCCGAGGCATATAACGTTCAAAAATTCGAGGAGAACACCTCATTTCCCCTGGTTTCCACGATGTTCTCTGAACATCACGGATAACCCTTTTCGTGGGAACCAGGACATAAATTTTTTTCTCTGTTGTCATTGTTTTTAGTTCCGAATAGTTTTAATAATCCATTCATTGATTATTTCAATTCGTCGAATTGCTCATTATTATTATTGACTGACGGCTGACACTGACAACCCAGTTGTCAATTCTTCTCCTCCATATATTTTCTCATCTTTCCCTTAAGCGTTTCAGTGCTAGGCACCAGTCTGTCTTTGCTTTGTGTTCTGCAAGGCAGTGGTCTGTGGTTCATGAAATTTTGACATAAATGGAAACATATAGTTAACCTGAAATTCCGAAATTGGGAAATTTGATAACCGAAGGGAGAGGAAATATGATCATCAAATGAATCTGTTAAATCCGTTTGGGACTCTGTTTCCGCTTTTCCAGTTTGTCCTAAGGAAATGGATTGAATGAATGATTCTTCAGACCTAACCTGAAAAACCATAGACTCATTGTCGATGAAGATATTTGCTTCGATTCCTGTAATTATCCAGCATCAAAATAGTAACTAGTATTCTAGGCTGAACACAGGGTTCGAAATCAATGCCTACACTCCCTTAGCTCCTTATTGATTCCAGGTCGATTCAAAAACATTGACCCCTGGTTCATACTGTAGGTACCGAGGTACGTATACCTGCTGTGCCTGTCTCCACTGTTGCTACTTTGGGCCCCTGTATAGAAATATTTTGTGCAGAGCAGGTAAACAATCTGGCGCCCGAGACTTTTTCCGTCCCCGTCAAATACTAGAGTAGTAACCGTCCTGAACAGAGCGCTAAAATGAGGGCCACAGAAATGAAGGCCGTTACAGATCCACAATTATGATTGATGAATCATGAACAAATGCGGAATGAGATTAAAACGGAATATAATGCTCAAAAAATTACTGTCATGAAAATCATAACATGAATGACTTCAATGAACTCAGTTGTAACCAATATATATGGATAAGGGATATTTCAACTTATGAAAAGATTGCTGTTTTGGCCGATATAAAATTGTATGTTTGGTTGCCTGTATATCAGTTGAAGAATCGTGTCAAATACTTCATAGTAAATTCACCTCGTGAAAGAATATATTTGGTCTAACAAAAAAGGGTCTCTTGACTTTTTGTACTGATTCTTTTTTGCATATACGTATTTCCATGGGTAGTGGAATGACATCCAAAAGGAAGAGTTCAGTTGTATCGCACGCGACGAGAGAAAAACAATACCAAACAATATCTAGCATTTTCGCGACCGGCCGACAACATATAATATTTAATATTTCACTATTTTCCTTTACTGATCCATACTCTCTAGCCCTATCCTGATTTCCCTTTCAAATAGTGACAGTGACGTCAGAGAAAGCCGCAACATATTTCGGTAAGTCCTATACAGTACACTTTTTTAAGAGCAGTTGAAATAATGAGATATTATTCCTAACAATTGCGGACTCAGCTGTTGAATTCATGTCATATCAGTTAGATACTGATGGTAAAAATTATTCATGACGAAACAGAAAACTTTTGATACTAGATTGACAAGATGACGAAATTGAAGTTGAAAAGGAGGAGATTTTGGGTTAAATCTTCGAATTATGTGTACTATATAAGAAAATATGACATGAGGGGGGACAGTGAATGACGGGATAAGAAATGATTGGGATGAACCCACAACACTAACGGAGGTATAAAGTGATTCGAAATTACAAGACCTATAATAATTGCAAAACTACTATAGTGCCTCCAATTGTAGTGATGCTAAATGGAGAGAAAATTCGATACGTCTCCTCATAACCACCAGTATTCCTGGCTTCACTAAGGGTATGTAATCGATGCATACACTATTTCGGCCGCTTGATATCATGTCGATTCGATAGCATTGAACTCTGATTTGCTGTTGACACCTCTGGTATCTTTCCCCATTGTTGCTACCAAGGGGTCCTAACAAATCCAGTTTATAGAAGCAGATGGAATGAAAGATCTTCTAGAATAATCTGGGGCTCAAGATATACGAACAGGTCTGAGGAGTGAGTTCAATAAGCGTTGAAGTGAGAGCTCTAGAGAAAGGGGCCATTGTTAGTTGACCTACTAGAAATGGGATTTGTTTGATGAGCTTCAAGCCAGGAAATCAAGATCTTCATAGACATGTGAAAGCACATTCGATATATATCTTCAATTTTGAAGCATATCTTGCGACATATTCACTACAGAGAGGTGTCGGTCTATTGGTTGGGAAATTTCAAGATGCTTAATAAAATTGATTTCGTGATACTGCTATTGACTCACATACATCGGAACAACATTCAGCAATTTCAGTCCAATTCTTCATAACAAATTTTGACACTTATATTCGATAATTTTCAGATGGACATTTATGATTATTGGGCGCAAGTTCTAGTCAGGCTTATTTTATATGATTTGGTCAAAGTGATCATCGTATGAATTTCAAAGCCTGACAGTTTCCTCAATATATATAAAATATATATATGGGATGTTTCTGAATCAAGTGAATATATCCAGCACATCAAATTGATACAGTTTTACGAATATTCCCGAGGAGTAATATTTTCCATATTTCTGTCAATCAACTTGGGATTTTATTTTTGAACAAAAAAAAGGCGAACAAATCTAGTACGCCACATCGAATCAATTTGAATGATTGCACTTTGTGTTCTTGTGCCTCTGATACGGAAATGTGAACTGAGGTGACCTATGATTTGCTACAGTGTGGAATATTTGATGAAGAGAGGTGTTCCACCTCGAATTTTATTCTCATCTATATATTTTTTTCAATAGGGAAAAACCCAAAGTCGTCTCCACAATGTTTAATGTATAATAAGGCAGTCAATCCTGCTTCATTAAGGTTGAAAGTTGATACATGTTTCGGCCATTCAAATGGCCATCTTTAGTCAAAAAATAACAAAGTTTATCTACAATAGAAAACCAAACATAATATTATATATGAAAAGAAATTGAAATGGAAAAGACAACAGTTGTAAATTCAAATTGAATTGATTAACAAATTTCAGTTAGATAAAAGAGCAACAGTGATTTTTATGGGTATAACAATGATGATTGATTAGTAATTGATAATACAAAGTGGAAAACAAAATTTTTATCGAATCAAAAATTCTCCATTTCTCCAGTTCTCCATTTGGTTTTTCAGAATTTTCGATTTGATGGAAGTTTAGTTTTTCACTTTTTATTATCAATTACTGATCAATTATCATTGTTATACTCATAATAATCACTGTCGCTCTTTTATCTAACTGAAATATGTTAATCAATTCAATTTGAATTTACAACTGTTGTCTTTTCCATCTCAATTTCTTCTTATACATAAAATCATGTTTGATTTCCTATTGTAGATACACTTTGTTATTTTTTACTGAAGATGGCCATTTGAATGGCCGAAACATGTATCATCTTTCAATCTCAATGAAGCAGGATTGACTGCCTCATTATACATCAAAAATTGTGGAGACTACTTTGAGTTTTTCACTATTGATCATTCCACTCCACTTTGAGTACAGAAGATATAATTTTTTCATTATTGTCATTTGATAGTTCACGTAGAGCTTCCTCATGGTTCGGAATATTCGCACTCATTTCAATGCTACCCGGTTCATTCATTGGCAGATATGATATATCTTCAGATCGGTATAATGAGATATCTTTGTGAGTTTATCATTTTTTCTTCAAAACTTGAGCATTCAGATTATTTCCAGAAGGGAATCAATTCTCTTGTTCAGATTGATTATTGATAATTGGAAAAAGGTTCATTTTTGCCAACAATGCATTTCTCTCCATTTTATCTCAGAATTGAGTGATTTTGAACTGGATATCTTACCTGAACTGCAGCTGCTACAAATGCATCTATTGGAGTTTTTCTCAATGCATCGATGAGACTACTGGTATCACCTGCACCAACAGAAATGTTTAGAAGTTTTCCCAAAGCAAATGCTGTATCCCTCGGTCGTGCTTTCGATGCACCAGAACTGAGAGCTGTTCCACTTTGTTGAATAGTTCCACTAATAAGACCTGAAATAATGCGATTCGATATTTCAAAAAGGGCAGTATGAATCCTGTCAATGTCAATTTATTTACGGAAATTCAATCAGTTTCTTGATCTCTCTCATATCGTTCCACGATGAAAATCCATTTCAAAAAATGTAGAATTGAATAGATGCTGATGAGAGTAGGTTTGAGTGATATGATGAAGTAATGCAGCATATCCAATTCAATCATTGTCCGATACATAACCCAGGTAACAAGCTGACGTCATTTGTACGTCAATATATGGTCATTTATGGTCATTGACGTCATATGACCTCAAAATGACGTCATTTTGACGTACTTAATATGACGTTATATAGACGTCCTTGATATGTCGTCATTATGACGTCATCTGATGGTCATTTTCATGACTAATTATGACCATCATTTATTGAGTCATCTACATCAAGGAAAATCCATAATCAAGAAGTTTCCCATCTCTGTTATATGAAAACGTTAGTAGTTATGTTATATAACATATATTATTATGTCACTCATCATATATTATGCTTCATAATGATTTTTCCTCTAATCTGTGCGAGATGTGTGTTTTCGATGGTCTCTGAGATAATTGTTAATTATATACCTTCTGTGCAAAGTATTCTCCCTATAGCTATTAAAAATATAAGACCGAATGTCACGTCAAAAAAAGCTTATAACGTTGTTATTCCGGAATGCGAATTCAAATCAGAGCGGGAGAGTGCGTAGAGAACTGTATTTGATTGGTCGGCGCACGGACCTTGCGCAGACATGCGAACGTCGACCGCCAGCGCCAACCCACAGCCGTATTCAGAAGACGGCTGTGGCCAAGCCGTTCACTTTCGCTTCGCCGTTGCGGCCATGATGATTGATGACCATAACAACAAAATAACAATACATAGAAGGCCATCATTATCATGTTATTCGGCTATCTATGTGGTGTGGTGTGGTGGTCATACCTATTCATATTCATATATCAAGTAGTAGAATTTGAGGATGGCAGCATGGTCATTATTTTAGACAAGTGGTGTATGCCGCAAAAGCAGAATGTGAATTGGACGCCATTGAAGGAATACCATAGGGTTCTGAGAAATCTCTTGAGTGCATCATCCGAATGGGATAAGTTCCCAATAAAAAAAAAATTTGATGAAACTGGTATTTATAGTACCTACCTATAATATTATTTTGCATTTAATGTGGTGAAGGAACATCAATATAATTATACAAAAAAAATCTAATCTTTTCTGATAATCTTGATACAACCCTAATGCAACAGTGTTTTTTTTACCTACAGAAAATTTAGAAATAGCACAAAATAAACTGAAACATGCAGAAGATTTCAGTGATATAAATAATCGTGAAGATCACGTCATTTTGACGCCATTAGGATGTCGTCATTTTGACGTCATTAGGATGACGTCATTTTGACGACATGAAAATGACGTCATTCGTCTTTGACTTAGAAGGTCATATAAACGTCATTATGACGTCATTTCGGAATTCATCCTGACGTCAGGCCTGACGTGATAATGACGTACAAATGACGTCAGCTTGTTACCTGGGAATCGCTACCTACATCAGTGGATTGACGGAAGAAGTATTATGGAATGCCCTTTGAGATTGCCCCACTAGATCCAACTGAACTCTGCTCGAAAGGAGTAGCACTCGATCAATCATTCATCGAGCTCGCTCGATGTGATGATAGGGAGAAAAATCTTCGATTCTATCGGTTTCTGTTCCGACTTCATCGATCAGATCTCTGAACAAACATATTCTTAGAATGATACAAAAACATACCAGAAGGAGACGAATGATTCTACATAATCTAGGTCACAACAAATTATTCACCTGCTGGATTCCATAGTAAACTTTCAGATTCGATACCCAGCCATAATATATGGCCAACTGTTTGATGTGTTTGTGAAATATCATCATCGCAACAAATTCGACGCTTCAATTTGACAAATTTCAATCCTGACATACTCATTGTCGATGTGAATATCCTGTGGGAGTGAAGTCGATTCTATGAAAAATCTAATGAGTTTGGTTGACAATCAGAATATTTCCTACACCGAAGAAATTGTATTTATATCGACAATAAGTAAGTGAGGATTGAAATTCGTCCAATTGACGTGCCAAATTTGTTGCAAATGTGGAAATATACTAACACATTCAACAGCTTGCCATACATTATTACTCAGCACCGTATTGAAGAACCAACTATGATGGAATTCAACGTATATACAGGGTGATTCAAAAGTAAGCGGCATCCTTTCAGAGGCGTATTCCTTGCTTGAAAATAAGGCAAAAAGTTCCTATTGATAAGGATCCGAAAATGCTTCCTAAGGGAGCTACGGCCCTTTGAATAGGACACCTCAAAGACGGTTTTTTCTCTATAACTTTAAAATCCTTCACAACAAATTTTTAAAAATTGGTGTACGGCATAAACATTCGATGGTAAATAAGACTCCGTATTCGAAATTTCAGAATTTCATTCAGGGGCGTCACATGCGGGAGAGGGTAAGTGTAAAAATATCCCTTCTTCTCCGGATATTCAGGTTACTGTGATTTCGTTTGGAAATTATTTCGAATACGGAGTCCTATTTACCATCGAATGTTTATGCCGTACACCAATTTTTAAAAATTTGTTGTGAAGGATTTTAAAGTTATAGAGAAAAAACCGTCTTTGAGGTGTCCTATTCAAAGGGCCGTAGCTCCCTTAGGAAGCATTTTCGGATCCTTATCAATAGGAACTTTTTGCCTTATTTTCATGCAAGGAATACGCCTCTGAAAGGATGCCGCTTACTTTTGAATCACCCTGTATATATCAACCTCAATTAAAAATATTTCTATGTACCCGTATCATTCTAATAATGAATCTGTTCGGGACGAAATCTGATCATCCTCTGCAAGATTCGTGATATTCCATCAATATAAACGATTTATTGTGAATCACCCATATGACACCTGGATTGAATAGCTGTTTACCATCGGCCAAATGACTCGTTAGTTGAGGATAAGTTTCTCGAGTGATCAGAAAATAATTGTCCATCTATCTAACTGACAATAATTATTATCATTTTAACTGAAACAATTTGATATTTCATTATATTATTATCTGTTATGTATTCAAGAATGGAAAACCTTATTATAGGCATGTCAAACATTTTCTTTTTTGTCATTTCCCAACATCCCCAAGATAGACCAATGAAATCTGTGGTCTGAGTGAATACATCAACCAAGTCTAGCTACACCTCCAAAATAAAGAACCAGACATGAATAGGTCAATTCATCCACCAATACGAACTATATCTTTTGTCCCAAGAACGGACTCCACACACGTTCATGATTAGAGGGAGATACCTGCTTTCATTCTGAAAAAATCCTTACGTCATCGAGGAGAAACTTTCAAACCAAAATAAAATGATGTTATGTGGTTCAAACTCGATAACCAGAAAAACCAAATATCTTTAATATCCCTACTCATCACCAAATGACCCATTCTTTGAAGGATTTTTCAATTTCTTCCTCCTGGAACTTGGCCTGAACAAGCAGATACATTCAGCAGCAGGAATCATCATCATGGGCGATTTCAAAGTACACTGCAGGGCTCGAAGACTCCAACTTAACGGAAGGAGCTGAACGACGAGTCAGAGCTTTTGCAATTACCCACGGCATAAATCAACTTATCAAGAAACCAACACGATTTGTCGATGTCAATAACGATTTAGCTTGAACTCATGACTCATCCTCACTGATGATTCAGCACCTCACACCATATTACACCATATATCTGCGAGCTGCACTGATCAAACACTCAAACAACTGTACCAGCTCTCCCACGTCTTTTATGGCACTGTAACTCAGGAGACTGAGACGGTTTTCGCATATCTTTATACAAGTTCACTTGGCATATATTGGGAAAGGTTAACGGTCCTGATGCGAATCCACCCATTATTTCCAAAAAGTTTGTTCTACAAGTCGAGTGTTTTATCATATTGCTTGAGGATTTCTCAAGTCTAACCAACTGGCCTTTCATCAGTCTCCAAAGTGATGGAGTAAGTCATCAACATTGAAGTCATTGATTATCTGGAGAGCTAAGAAATCATTGATAATAAAAAATATGGCTCTCGCCACCAATGATCACCTACTCCACTCATATATGGCGAGCTTTATCAGAAAAATATGAGAAAACTCTAGCTGTAGCGTTGAATGAATCGGAGGCCGTGTTTGGTACCAGAAGCTTCTCCATAAACTACAATAAAACGGCTAACCACTTCAGCTATGCCATCTCATTTCGTATTATCAATCAGGCAGGAAGCTTCATGTGGTTGTGAACGTAGTATCTTCTAATTTCATCGCAAATGATTTCGACGTTCTACAAGGATCAATTGAGGCACCAACATCCCCACTTCATAACAATGACATGTTGGGAGCTACTATCGACCTTATCGACAGCTTTGCTGATAATAGTACTCTCCATACTGTGTTCTCATCAGGAATTTTCATTTCTTCCTAGGAAACCAAGAACTCTCGATGTAGGCAAGGCAGTGCTGTCATTGATAATCTAACTGAAATCACTGCCTGCGAAACCAACAACCTAGTTGAATTCAAGGCAACCACAACTCGAGCCTGTATTTTCTTTGAAAAGGCGAAACTTAGAATGCCTGATATAACGAAGTCTGACAGCACAATTTCCACCAAGAACACTATATTTCATGTATGCTCGATTCCTCCATCAGCTATTATTTTCCATGGAAATATTATTTCCAATCCATCGCGAAAGCTGGTTCACACAAAACCGGATCTGTGATTCTGTTCAAAATTATACTTCACACCTCAACAGCTCCCTAATATCTAGAAAAAACAAATATAGCCAGTTCATAATACTGTTCCACATATGGGGTTCAGCACCCAAACATACGCTGATGCTCTCAGATTTCATCCAGAAAAGAGCCATTTGCCACATCCACTAACACCATCAAAAGTCGGCAACATTTTAGTTTCCTATAGATACTTCCAGGAAACAAATACGAATTTGACTAACTCCACAGGTCCAGTCAGCACATATTTTCGTCGTCAACCTTGGGATATGTCGAACAACACTCTCTCAGATATCGTCCAACAACAAAGCTCTGGAATTATCTACCAGTGAAAGTATTTCCATAAACTTATGATCGAAGAAAATTCCAGCACCAACATCTTTTCCCTCTCCTCCATAGTCAAGCACGATGATTATTGAACATTCTACGAATTTAATTTTATGCGCTTCTTCCTGATTCTACTGACGAGAGATGCAGCTTGAGAAAAAAATTTGGCATAACCGATTGGTCGCTTCATGATGAGTTAATATCATTATTGATTCTATTGATTCTAGATTATGTTGATCATATCACTAGTTCTGAATTATTTCATAAAATTCATTCATTCTCTCAAGATGAAGAGAAATATTTTTCGGTATATGATAGATATAACTGAACATTCTGTGGTATAAGCAAGAAAAGTCGTTGTTTTCTGTTGAATGTTTCAACAAGTTGCTCTCTATTTTTAAGATAAATTGTTTGATAGCTCTGTTAGTTGAACATGAGCTGTAGCTTATATTTGCCAGAACAGCAAATATAAGCATGGAATTGTCTAATAATATTCTGATCAGTTTCAGTATCTAGAAACATTGGATCATTTGCTGTGAGTTCCCAAAGTATATTCGAATATCCTGCCTAGTTTCCATCGATTATGATGTGGAGATGGGAAATTATTTTCACATAACTCGATAGTTTTCTTGAATCATTTCTCTCAATCCAATGTATTATTCATTATCTGTGGGGATTTTATCTCCAACATTATGGAAAGTGAGAATTTGAGTAGATGATGTGATGATTCTCTTGTATGGAAATACCTACCAATTCTGGAACAAATACATGAGTAATCAATCATCAACAGTCATTTCACAAGTGCTGGTGATTTTCTGATGATTCCAACTGGATGAACAAATCGTTTTTGCTGTAGGAATCTCACGAGTGCACGAAGTCCACAAGTGTTATTTGGCGTGATTATTGATTTTGCTACTCTTTCCAGCCACAAACTTTGGTTGTGTGGCATTTTTTCCGAACTAACTTGTTAGTCGAACAAAAAAGCCTATCAACAACACAGTCTATTGGTACTTATCAAAACAAAGATTCGAACGTGAACAAGCTATGGCTGTGATTTTCAGTATCAAATAACTAGTATAATAGTACCAGATAATTGGCAAGATTTCAGCATTGTTATTAGTTGAAACAATAAGAACATCACATCTTGACATGTGAGAAAAATATTCGATGATATTTGAAGGACACGTGGTATAACCTTCGATGATTTTATGCTGGTAGTGAATTTGGCTATTTCATACTTTGTCGACTTCATTCCATATAATATAAGATTGTGACGAGGAGAACAGAAGATGGGATCAATCAACAGGGTCGTTCAATAAATCATCGAATGATAATTTGAGGAATGCAACATTCGATGAGCGAGTAGAATATTCATTTGTAACTAGTATGGTACCTGGGCTCATTTTCGGAAGATTGTCCAAAAACTCTACTCAAGATTGCTGTGCTGGAAGAAAACATGTTGTTGGTACAAAAGAATGTGAAATTCAACGAGATTGAGAGGCAAGAGAGAAGAAGGAAATGAAAGAATATAGTGACCCTGAATTTGCTAAAGAGAAGTCATGTTCTCATCGTGAAGAGTGTAATAATAATTCCATATTTTGCGAATTCATATTTTTTCGATATGCAGAGTTGAAATATTATGAAGTTGAGAAAGAAAATGAATCCGAGAATAAAAATATCGAAATAGTTGAGTATTATCAATTATTCATGTCATTGAATATGTTGGTCCAATTAGTGTGCAGATTGATTCGAGAAACATTTTTTTGAAGTGAATTGAACATAACTTCTGGATATTATATCAGGGTTTGTGAAGTTCTCCATCTGCCTCCAAATCACGTGACTCGGCTAGCAAATCACAGGCCGGCTTGGGAATGTCACGAAACAACACAAGAATGTCACGGAAACGTAACGGAACACCACTGAAATGTCACCACGTAAATATCTCGAAAAACCATGGAAATTCCACGGATTACCACGAAAATGTCACGGAAACGTCACGAAACACCACTTAAATAATTCGTGCAAAATAAGTGTGTGATATATTTGTTCATTTTGCATGGATGAAAACATCAGATGATTTAAGGTGTTCAATCGTACTGCAATGAACTGAGGATGTGTGCCACAAGATACAACCGATTCAAACATGTGAATCAAATGGCTTGTTCAGAAATCAGGAAATTCAAACTCCAATTTCTCATCAATTTCACTAAAGAAATGGAACGTGTTGGTATTGAGTTCTGGGTAAATCCTGTGTTCAAAACTGAAGATCAATCGTAACTCAAACAGAACAAAAGAATAGAAAACAATCATCAAAAAATATTATATAGGTAAGTTTGTGGAAAGTATAAAAAGAGACCATTCTCAGGAAGGATGAACAAACACAAGTATAAAATCGAAGAAAGACATATAGATGAATCAAAGCTAACTTTCAGTATATCCTTACTAAAAATGGACAACATATGGCAGGGTGGATCGATGTTGAAATCATAGGAGAGGAAAATAACAACCAAGAGACGAGAATCAAAGAATTTGATTGAATTCTTTTCAATGAAGACCATGTGCATTGTTTTCTGTTCAGCTGATATTGAAAGGAGAGGGGATCTACTCCTGAATACTGAACATAGAGATAATAGATTCCAGATTCAGTATGTTACTGAGAGGTGTGAAACTATAAGAAAAAAACTTCCGGAGGATAATATATTTGCATTTTTATGTTGGGATCAGGGGCATATTTGTTTTCGAAACATCAAAAGATAAGTGAAAATTAAATATCTCTTCAAGATATCTGAATAACTTTTCTTCAAATCGGATTTTTTTTCAGGCTCGCTGATATGAAAAATTTGTTGAACGCACTGGCATTTTGGGATGAATCATCTGATTCGATCTATTACACATATATATTGGAATGATATATATATTTTTATTCCATAGAAACAAGAAAGAAGAATACCGTATAATCAAAAATGTGAAATTAATTCGATGTTCTTCATGTCATTGAGCCAGGAGAGTATTTGTTCCCTTCTGAAGATACCAAGGAAGAAACATTATATTTATCAGATGAAGAAATCGAATTCTCAATGCATTCTTGTTCATGTACCTATGTTCCTTCTCAATATCATTAAACGCATTCATTCAGCTATGACTCAGATTATTCCTCAACACTACTACTGTTTCACTGACTGACGGTCACTTTGCGAGCAAGTATCTGCTATGATGGTGACGATTTTTCTAAGACAAGATTGTCCCTCTTCTGGTTCCAGGAATTTTCATCAATATAAGTTTGCTTGCATGGAATTATCATATAATCAAACGACAGAAAACCAGTTATGGTCACGAACATTTGCAGTCATTCTTCGAATCTCGAATAAATAACCGTCGACAAAGAACCGACGAGAGCTACCAAAATATCGAAGTGGATGTAGTCCGGTTGGTTCATCGTGCCTACGATAGTGCCAAACGATAGTGAATGGATGACGAGATACTGAGACAGCACTCTTTCTTCCGATGGTTTGATTGCAGTTAGATGAAGTTTAATCGAGTAGAATTCCAAAAATCATTTTTTCAATTTTTTCCTTTTCCAGCCGATACAAGTTTTCTTGAGTGTGAGGCTGGATTGATTCTTGGTTATAACGACCTGACATTTATTTTTATTGTTGAGATGTTGTCTATATAAGAGGTATGTCAATTTCTTTTCAGCTACCATTCTGTTTCATATCTGTACTACTTGTAACTTTCTAGGTACTTCCTCATTGTATCTGAAGATGGCCAGAAAATCGAAACTTCAGTCACACACTGATGATTTTTATAATGAATATTGTGGTCGACCGACTTTTAGTTCATTTTCTCCTGTTGGGATGCCAAAGATTGCACATTCATGAAGGAATATATTATTGTTTCAAATATTTTCTTCCCAAGTGAAGAGATTGAATCGATTTGATTTCCAACTTTGCTCACTGTGCTCACCTTTATTTCTCGAATTGAGTAACTGATAACTAACAGAGAATGCACCTGCACTCTGACCACCAATAACTATATCGTTTGGGTCGCCTCCAAATAATTCAATATTCTTCTTCGTCCATTGCAAAGCTAGATGCTGGTCTTTCAAACCCATATTTCCAGGTACAATGCCGTCTTCCGTTGAGAGGAAACCTAGAATTTGAAATGTTATTCGATACCATATATAATATACCTATTTATCACATTCATTTTAACTCAAAACACCAATTTGGTCATTACTCTTCATGAGGAAGTATTTTGTTCAAGTTATCGGGGTTATTCATAATGGTAATGAAATGAGATGATCATCAGAAACTTCATGACTGAAAAAGAAATCCTCATGGAAAATAACTCAAACAATCATAACACTTATTGCTCAAAATTGTGCATTTGTGGAGATGGAGGAGATGAAGCTTCCACACATCAATAATTGGAGAAACCGATATTTCACAGGTTCAGCAGTGACTATTTCATAATTCCCTACATTTGCAGTTTGCGGATATGAACTTTGAAACAAGAGCTATATGGATATGTGAAAAACATTTTCCAAGTGATTTCGCTTCTTCTAAGAGTGATAAAATCATCCTTGTTTGATACCATATGATGATGAATCTCATCTGTCAAATATTAGGAAGTATCTGATTGAAAAAATCTTGATAGAGTACAATCAGTATTGATTCTTCAGATATCTGACAAAAATCTACTCCACTAGCTGTTACCTCAGAATATTGAATTATATCTGTCATGAATAGAATGAAAATACATCGGATACTAGAGAAATATTTATACTCTCCATGACATCAATTGAAGGATATCTATTTATTATCATCTAGAAATGATCGATATTGGAATCACGAGAATATTTTTCATGGTAGTTCTTGGTACATCAATAACACTTTATTTTTGTTGAACGAGAAAGCTAGATATGCTTTCGTGTATGATTGTAATACTTTATTGTTATTGGCACAGACAACCTCTATGATTTTTGATCTACGTGATACTATTCCAAGAATATATTCTCGCCAGGTGAATAAGGAAGAATGACATTGAGATAAAATTGATTCATTTATTCTCTAATTGATTGAATGGAAGTTGTTTGACTTGCTATTCTTGATATATAGATATAATTTGATGGAGTTGTGGATGTTTGTTGGGACGAGGGATATAGATGAGAATAGTTGAAGAACAAAACACTGTAGGTACTTATTTTTGTTTGATCATTTGGATCTATTATTTTTTGATCGATATTCTTCCTGATCTTTTTTATATCATCATATTATTATATCGATATATTCATTTATGACTCAGTCTCATGAATCTCAATTGAAGTGTTAATGAAATGAATCGCTCTGTTTCTCATCGAGTGAGATTACGTGCTGTCTGTTGTAAATCCAAACTGATAGATACCAACTAGCAGAGTTACGGTATCGAATTTTTGAAAGCCCATATGTGTTGATTCATCAAATGAGATACGCCAATACGCGTAAGCCGAGTTCCATTTGTTCTTGTCACCCTTCCGAAAGTGAAAAGGATGAGTGATTGCTTTTTCTCCAGAATTTCTAATGTTTACACTAGTAAAGTACCAGCTGCCACGTATGGATCTGGATATCTGCTATGGCATTACTATTACAGCATCCGAATTAAAGTCATGTTCAGCATCTTAAGGATAATCTGATAACCAGTGATCTTCGATGATCGTCACGTCACATAGGGCATACTTGAATTCGAAATCATGAAATGAAGCCAAGACTCATTATATGAGAGCGAACATCTTTGTAGATATGTTCGGAATGAACTCAACCTCGGATTCCGAGCGAGAAGTACCGCCTAACATTCTACCCGTCGAAAGTTGAATGCCTGAAGTTTTTTTCGTCAACGCACTATCAGACGCATTCTGCTGGGTTTCAGAATCACTAGAATTGACACTGATTCTCTGCAAGTTATTCACCATCTCGTACGATTCGCGATATTTTTCATATTGCTGAGAAATTGCCAACCAACCCTTAAAGAAGCAGAAGCCTGTGCAACAACGGTGCGCTACTTGCGCTGTCATGAGACATCTTCAAAGTGCTGAAAAAAGTCATCAATAATGAGCTTATCAAATATCTGGAAAGATCAGAAATAAATGATGATAGACAATATGGATATCTCCACCAGAGATCAACTGGGGAAATATGTCAAGCTTTATAAAAATACATGGGAAATATCCAGCTGAGGCGTTGGATATATCGAAGGAATTTGACCAAGCTTGACACCAAGGACTACTCCACGAACTACCATCATGGCTCATCACCTCAGCTATGCCTCTTTTTGATGAGTTTCCTTGCAGGCAGATTGCTTCATGTGGTGGTGAACTCAGTATTGTCTGATACCAATTTCATAAATTCCAGCAGTACAAAAAGATTAATTCTTGCTCTAACATATTTTTTTTGTTATCGATGATCTGTTGGGAACGACCACTTGTCCAATCCACAGCTTTGCAGACGATATTACATACTGCCTTCTTCCATCCCGATTTCTTTCCATTGAACCGAGATCTAACGATGATGACAGGTCAACGCTAGAGAAACAACATCCTAGTTGATTTCAACGGCTTCAAGACTAAAGTCAATATTTTCTTCAGAAAGGCGGAACACAGTATGCCTGTTATGACGATGTCCATATTCTTGTAGTTACTCTTCTGTTTGTGGGTTCAACATATACCGATATATATCAGCGGTAATGTCATATAATGTTTCAATAAGTGATGCTCAATAACTAAGTCTCTGAATCTGTGAGACTCTTCGTCAATAGGAGTATCCCAAAGAACTCATAACCCACAAAAGTTCAAAAGAGATTCCAATACCTACCGCCTCTGCTTATCATCCCTAGGTACGCACGATGTTTTTTCAACATCATAGGAATTGATTTTCGTGTGCTTCAAGAGAAACAAAGAATATATCTATCATTTCTATTATGAATTCACATTTCGAGCAATCAAAAAATCAGTTAAGTGCTTTTCTCCAAATAACTAACATATAATCAACTGTAAACTTCTATCCAAAGATATATACAAAGAATCAATTCACATGGATCCAGTTGAGAGTTATGAGTCATCAGCTAGGGCGACATTGATGATTCATTCGAATATTCTCGTTTCATCGCACCGGTCAAACTGCGCCATGCAAAATGAAAAGCAGTTCTCATGGCATTTCATCTGATCCTTCTGGATCTGAAGAAATATTTCGAAAGAAGTGATCACAATGTGACCTTTCTAGACATATTGATAAAACATGAATCTTTCCAAGGTCTGGTTCTGGTTGTTTTCTTCATGATATGCCATCTTGAATAGTTTCATCATAAAACGTCGCTGCCAAATTCGGAAAGATCACGATGAATCATTCCTGAAATATTGGCTATCAGAGTTTAATGGCAATGTCACATAATGAATGTTCGTTATGAGTGGCTAATATAGTTATTTGCGATAAGAGTGCTGAAACTGATATTCCCTTTTGTGAAAAACGACTTCGAAGGCGGAAGTGTTTCATCCTTCCAAATCGTGGTCTCTACCGTCAATTTCTTCACTGTCGCTTCTTCCGTTTCAGGCATGATGACTTCTTTTGGCAATGTGTTTACTGATTGGTTTCGGCATTTTCACCAAAAATTCGACAACTTTTCCATTCGGCGACCTGTCCATCCGGTGGCTTGTCCAAGCAGCCTCTTGTTCATTCAACAAAGTGTCCGGATCCTTCGCGAAGTTCATTTGTATAGTTTTTTCAGGCTAGCACATGCATGCATGATTCTGGTAACCAATATGAGCTGCTTTGTGTCACAAATAACCTAATGATCTGATGATACTATATTCCAAGAAAGTATCTAGAAAGTGAGAATAGGGAATTGGGTAGATGGTCCCACCATGCTGAATCCATTGTTGATGTGTCATGACAAGTCATTTTATAATCCAGAGATGTTCTTCAATGGATAGTTTCAGAATTGAAAGTCGATATTCACAAAACATCTATTCCACTGTGAGAAGGTACTCAGTGTTCATTATAATGTTGAATAAACATTAATTGACCAGTGAATTCCTAATAGTCCTTCTCGGCTCCAAATTTTTGAGGCATATTCCAGCTCCGATCGAACAAATGCATAATACAGGCTCTTTAGAGTCGCGATGTCTTCAAAATATTTTGGTTTTCACGAAAAACAACGTCCTGTAATGTTCAGAGAACATCGTGAGAACCAGGGGGAATAAGGTAGGAATTGGTGTTCTTCTTGAATTTCTGGAAGTGATATGCCTCGAGGAACACGTCCCTTGGCAATGTGTTCCAGAGCGTCGCTGTTCGTTGGATGTAGGAGTTTTCGAAGAGAGATGTTTTGCAGGTCTCTAAAGTGACCACAAAGGGGTGCGAACCCTTAACTCGACGGATCAATCTAGCGGGGAATGCCAAGGAAGGAACAATTGTTGATATCTCATAAGAGCATCGTCTATAAAAATACCCATAAAATAAAGCCAGATCGACAACATTTTAACGGTGTTCCAGTGGAGTGAGTGAGTTTGTGAACGAGGCATCACCCACGAGACGAATTGACCTTTTTGGACATAATCCAACAGTTCCAGGGTATGTTTGGGTGCTGCACTCCAAATATGGAAACAGTATGAATTCATATCATTTATGTAGTTCAATTTCAGTTCACATGTTTTCTGAATATGTCTCCTCCCAAGATATTAACACTCTGCTTGTGTAATAAAAACCATTCTTTGGAGGAAGGAGTGTAGTTCTGAGTAAGTCATGAATATGAAAAATGTCAGGAGATCATTCTCTATGAACATTGATTTCATCAATCCATAATGATTATATATATTATGATATATATCATGATGAATTAAGTGCAGTTGATCGGTTTCTGTACTGAGATAGTAAAAATGGCAACACATCATCTCAAAATAAAAATTTTAATGTTCATTTCATATAAGTGGTATTGATTCACAACTCTTCCAGTGTGGAGATAGTATTCGTAGTAATAACTGTACACCAGTAATAACAGTGAGATCACAGGTTTGCTCATCAATTATATCACTAAGTTAATATTTCGGGAGAGGAATATTTTTGTCGCTATAAATATTTCATGGAATTGATAGTCTCATGAAGAGGATACGAATGTATCAGTCTCACGATAATAGTAATATGAAATAATGTAAAATTGAATCAGAGTTGATTTTGATGAACTGGTATTGAAATGGACACCATAATTTTTTCTAGAGTGCTGATACTATCATATCCTGAGGATGCAATGATTTCAACGAAGCAATCAAATTGACACGTTCAAAATTATATAGACTACCGGCTGCTGCCATCAATATCCATCGCTATTTTGTGTGTCGTTATTTCAACGTAGATTTAATGAGGATAAAATGATTTCTGATGATTCATGTTCTCGTTAGAACATTTTCTCAGCAAATATTTTCTGTCAGTTGTCCTTCGAAATTTTTTTCTGAACCCTAATTCATTCGAATGAGATGAAAGTAATATGGGGAATAACTCACAAATAAAATGATATATTCGCAATTTTGACCACCGTATTGAAATTATGTTTCAACCCAAGAAAAATTCCACCGTGCTCTGTGTTTCTATAAAATGATATATATAATATAAAGTGATGAAATCTCATGATAATTATATCAGATATTCATCGAAATTGAAGTAAGGACATTGTATGAATAATCTATAGATATTGAAGCAATCATCAGTTATTTTAGATTAGAATATATATTCCGAGTCTTACCTAAAGGGCCTAGTCGGTAATTGATCGTTACAACGACTATTTCTCCATCAATCAAATACTTCGGGCCATAACCACTTGCACTTCCCTTGATGAATGCACCACCATGGATAAAGAAGTAAACTGGTAATTTCTTATTAGTTCCAGGAACCTAAAATTTTTCAATCATTTTAGTTAATACGTTTATTGCTCTTCAATCATCAACGAGTAGGTAGATAATTTATGCCTCTGTTGGGATATTTGGTTTTGAAGCAATCATATATGGTGAGGAGAACTGAGATGTAGCGGATATATGTTATGAATTCGAGCATCAAGGTGATGCACGTCCTTGCAATATTCAATTTTTGTACATCAATATGCAGACTTCTTGAAATTGAATGATTCAAAGCTATAAACATTATCTGTAGAGTTCAGATGTGGGAGTATCAGAGCCTCGATTCGAATTTTTCTACCGTTTGTTTGGGGAAGGAAATATGTTCAAGAAAATCAGTTAATTCAAATTCCGCTCCTGAAATCATGATATTCACATTGTAGTACATCTCGAGACAGAGTCAATCGAGAGCACTTTCGAAATGTCGGCGATAGAAAGAACTTTCTCATTTCATTATAATTTGTTTTTCATTTATTTACATATCTCGTGTACTTGTTCGGCCAAAAAGCATGATATTTCTCTTGACATAGTTGATTGAGAGGCACTTTTTGCTAGATAATGGTGATGATAATTTCAGATCTTCATAAATTGATTCAATTGCTGATTTTCACCTTTTTTCTCAGAATGATATGTAAATCTGAGTATTTTACCCGTGAGGAAAACAAAGGTAGTCAGAACCTACGTAATTCTTCCATCGAACTCATGATATGTATACAGAGCAGAAACGATTGGTCTGAGAATATAACCTAGAGGTATAATTTCCAACCTTTTTTTATATTTTGTGATAGTACGGCTTGAAAGCGATTCTGTAGGCTATTGTTCAAGAGGAGAATAGCATTTTCAGAGCAACCGTGACATGATTGTATCAATAGGGAGTTTTCAATTTCAAATATGCCTCCACAGAGACAATAAAAGCATTCATTATTCTCATCATCATATAATCCAATAACACGAGGGCAACTCACTCATCATTACCTAGAGCCAAATCTAAATATTTTGTCGATTCAGCCAGGTTGCATACAAAAATAAGTTTTGTTTGTATCAATACGATATTCAGTATGAGAATCCCGAATATTCAGGATAGCTTTCGCGAGTACACATATTATGCTCATTGTGCAGAATGCATTTGAATCTAGCGAATCAGGTATTGAAGCTATCGGTATGACATGTGACTTTCTTAATATGAGTGAGAAAACATCGTAATTGATACAGCCAATGATTCATACTGGATATAGAGCGAACATTTAATATCGTTCCGATTCTTTCTCTGTCCAGACGTAAAGCATTTGATTTCAATGATAGAACAATCCTGCGAATAATCACTCAGCAAAGATTCGACGGAATAATGACTCAGTTTTCGACATTCTTCAAATGTTCAGGCAGATAATGGTTGTCGTCTGAAGCCTAGGGCAGCACTAGGATCTTCTACATTTCGTACGAGTGTCTTGAATGATAGTGAAGCGCTCGCAATGCCAAATTGTGTTTATGGATATAGGCAAAGACACCAGCACTGAAAGCATTTCTGGCAGATGTGAAGTGGTACCAATTTTCCTTTGTAGATCAATTTCATCAGTACTATTACTGATGATGACCATTTGCATGGTCGAAAAGTGTCTCAATCGCAAGTTATGAAGAAAATTCGACTGCCTATTTTGCTTGTCACATTTCTAGTGAGTACTTTCTTTCTATGTACTATGCCCATAAAATTCATGGTCTTTGCAGAAGATGTTATGGCTCTTATTATGCATTCCACAACCTCATCCATAACTCTTCAATCAGTAAGTACATGAATTTTATAGAAAATTTCAGAGATGAGAGGATTTTCTGCTTGGAAAACTGTCCTAGAATGTTGATTGGGATTGTCATATGGCATACATTTCTGTGGTGAATATCGAGCAGTAAGAGTTCAAGGCTCTGCTATATTTCTCTCTGCCTAGTTTCATGGCTGTACCTACTCCGTCACTCGTTTTCCAACGATCTAAGAATATGATGAGATTATTTCGTTGATTTTTCATCCAGACAATGAATATCAAGGTCCATTATGCGACCTCAATGTTTCTTTGTGAGATAATGAGTTACCAAAAAAAGAAGGGGGACATACTTTTGCTGAATGTTATTTCATTATTGGATATTGGGTATCTTCTACAGGCTTTCAACTCCCGAATTCACGTTGGTATGAATATCGTTGGTTCATTGCAGTATTCATAGTCACCTGAGGAGATAGCATGGATCTTTTTTCAAGTTGAGGGTTAGTGATCATGTACCACAAAGTACTGAGGCTGCAGAACCAGTACGGAGGGCACGTGTAGCCAATTTGTGGGCTCTTAACAAGATTATATTCGACTGTTCAAGTCTCGAAGATCCACAAGAATTGAATTCAGGAGGAGGACGAATATTAGAGGGCTTCTCAGATCGCATTCATTTCTGCGATGAAAATCGGGCAGTTGGATTTCAAGCTTCAGCTTCATTTCTTCAGGCCTATCATCATAACTGCATTTACTTCGTCACACATTTCCCAACCATCTATGAATATGATGAGAATATTTCGTCGATTTTTCATTCAGACAATATCAAGGTACTTGAGGTCAGTTGTTCTATGCACTCCACCATGAAATCGAGCATGCCTTTCAGTGGAAGATTCAGGTCTAACAAAGACTCCGCTTGTACAGCACGGAGTCCTGTGTAATAGATGAGATGTGAGATAAATCTATCTATTCATCGACAAGAGTTTCATGCAGCCATCGACACCTGTCTTTGACCCACGCTGCTCAAAAATCTGCAGGTGAACCAGATCAACTACTAGGATTACTCGCATGTACAAGATGCGTGTGAACAACTTGTCGATATGTATTCAGGTGGAATATTGATATGTGATTCTTTGGATTGGAAAAATCTTCATTCTTGAAAAGAAATTGATCTCGTCGAGACCTAGAGCAGCAAAGTTCTTGGAGCTCTTGAAGGCTTCTTGAATTTCCTCAGTAGTTATCGGTTGGCGCAGTTTCTTCGGCTTAGACTCTCGGTATCTTTCGCAGAAGGCACCAAACTGCGCCAAAGCTCAACTTTCTCTATTACATGGAGTCTCCACTCCGAGATTACCCTCTCTAAATGCTTCCACATGATTAGCAGTCGACGGATGGCCAACAACTCTTGGAGGCAGTTTCAATAAGAGAGAATGCGGATATAGATATGATATGATAGCATGACTATCAGCATAGGGTTAACTATGTGTGAGAGAGATACTGCTGAGAGCCAATGTGTCAGAAACGACAGTGTGATAGTGACGTCACGTGATATGATATTCGATCAAATTGAATTGATAAATCCAACAAAACCTGTTGCCGCTGAAGAATTGAGCCAAGGACATTTGCATCATCAGACAGTGTACATACTTACTGTGATACTCAGGTTTCCGTATCGATTTGATTATGTAAATGGTATCCGAACAGGATATGCAGACTTTCAAATTATTATCAAGTCAATACGATAGCAAACAATTCGAACTAGCGTCTTAAGAGGAGAGTTTCAACCAAATCGACATGCAGGCCTGTTGCTATTTGGGCTTATGAATGATTCAATTGAAAAACTGATTAAATCATCGTAAAGAAGAAGGTTGGGACTAGGGCCTGGTTATCATACGGAGTCGAAACTCATTTATTTATAGAAGATACAGATTTTTGAAAAACGTAAACATTGAAATTTTTTTGTCTCAAATTGAAATATTTTCGATCTCAGTACAATTGTTGGAAATTCGGCGAGGTGTCACTGAAATATCAGCTCTTGAAATGTTTCCATTCGGACAGGAAGCAACAAAAACGATTATTCTTTCAACAAAATATCCATTCATCCCAGCTGATCTCGGTAAACTCCATTTCTTGAAAGAATATAATGCAGGAAACTAGGATGTGGTAGTTCAGGCACTACCTGATAGATGGCAGTGTTCGAAATGACAGACTGCGGCAGAGAGGAATGGTGCATTGTATTGCAAGCAGATGGCGCTTAGGAGAGATGATGAATTCAAACCCGTTTACACCGTTGCCAATGTTATACATATTACTCGGACATATCATGAAATCTAGGCGCCGTGATAATACAGAGGGTATTATTCAATCATCTGGGCATATTTCAAGGGGAGGTTCTCCGAGTGTTTGTAAGACGAACAAATCTTATATATAAAATTCTCCTGTCACCGTCACGGTCATAGTGGTCGAACTCCTCCGAAACGGCTCGACCGATTCGTATGAAATTTTTTGTGCGTATTCGGTAGGTATGAGAATCGGTCGTAATCTATTTTTTGAATAGAAAATACGAAATGGCGGATCCAATATGGCGACCGAGTATAATTTTCCGATTTCATTCAAAATTGGTACTCAGGGGTTTTCGGGGTCGGAGATTATGAATATTTCGTCAAATTTTGGAAATTCAAGATGGCGGATCCAATATGGCGGACGAGCTTTGTAATTATGGTCAGATTCCATCCAAAATTGGTATCTGGGGGTTTTCGAGGTCGGAGATTATGATTTCTTCATCGAAATAAGGAAATTCAAAATGGTGGATCCAATATGACGGAAGAGTTTTTTAATTATTATGATCAGATTCTATGTAAAATTGGTATCGGGGGGTTTTCGGAGTCGAATATAATGATCCTTTTATCAAAATTTGGAAATCCAAGATGGCAGATTCAATATGACTGACGAGTTTTGTAACTTAATCCGATTCCATTCCAAATTTGTATATGGGAGATTTTGGGCTGGGAGATTATGATTGTTCATCAAAATAAGGAAATTGAAGATGGAGGATGGCAACTGAGTTCTGTAGTTATGATCCGATTCTATTCAAAATTTGTATCTGGGTGTTTTCGGGGTCGGAGAAGAATTAGAAAACAAATGAATATAAGTATGTTGATGAATATTTAAATAAAAAAATATTTTCTGGAAATAGTTGTATATAGCAGAACAACGTTTGCCGGGTATCAGCTATTGTAATAAATATTAGTTCGAAAAACTGATGAAAC